TTTATGTCACAGTTTAGTGGGAGCATTTTTTACTCAGTGAAATATAAAACCCATTTTATATAATGTCTTAGGCTTGATAAAAAGAAATGGTTAATTTTTTGTAGTTAGTTGTGAGACGTAGATTCATTTTACGATGTGGTTATCCCTATGGTGGTGGAAAAAAATCTAAGTGGTGAGAATATACATTCATTTGGAATTATACAATTGTATAATGATCTTCTAGTGTTTCCTTCAGACCTTTTTCTCTTTGTTTTCATTGCTATCACCCTCATATCAAATGGCAAAACTAAAAAACTTAGTAACAAGTTTGATATTCTTTTACTCAAGGGAAAACAGTCTGTAGACTGGGGTCTACAATGCCTAGCAAGCACCTCCGCAGGGAATTTAGGGTAAGAGTAACTTTTATGGGGTCTTACTCTAAGAGGCACTGCAGGAACAGGACGTGATTGGCTGGAAAGATGGGCGTTTCCTTATAAAACTAGAAGGTCATATTTTCTAGGACAAAGTAGGCTAGCTAAAGCTCAATTGGACAACTGGTTGATGTTGGGTTTCTTGAGAGTGAGGTAGTTTCTGTAATGCAGGCTGACTTAACGTATAGGTTTGTGATGTCGTCTGAGCCACTGGGATGACTTTTGTGCGTTCCAATATAGCAGTTAACACTAGTTGGGTGCTTTACATTAAACTGGTTCCCTGTTTGTGGAAGGCTATTCAGAACAATAAAGGAAAAACAGAGATCAAGAAGAAGAGAAAAGAATTGGGGTTGCAGTTGAGGACAGGGTAGTGGTTAGGACTTCCAGGATCAAGAAAGAAAATTGAGAAGACTCTTGTTGTTCAGTTGCCATGTTGTGTCCGACTCTTAGAAACCCCATGACCTGTAGCATACCAGGCTCCTCTGTCCTCCACTATCTCCCAGAGTTTGCGCACATTTGTGTCTATTGAGTCAGTGATGCCATCCAACCATCTCATCCTCTGCCACCCCTTTCTCCTTTTGCCTTCAGTCTTTCCCAGCATCAGGGTCTTTTCCAGTGAGTCAACTCTCACATCAGGTGGCTGAAGTATTGGAGCTTCAGTATCAGTCCTTCCAGTGAATATTCAGGACTGATTTCCTTTAGGATGGACTGGTTGGATCTCCTTGCAGTCCAAGGGACTTTCAAGAGTCTTCTCCAACACCACCGTTCAGAAGCATCAATTCTTCAGTGCTTAGCCTTCTTTATGGTCCAACTGTCACATCTGTGCATGACTACTGGAAAAGCCATACCTTTGATCGTATGGACCTTAGTTGGCAAAGTGATGTCTCTGCTCTTTAATACACTGTCTAGTTTTGTCATACCTTTGGGCTTCTCTGATGGCTCAGATGGTAAAGAGTCTGCCTGCAGTGCAGGAGGCCTGACTTCGATCCCTGAGTTGGGAAGATCTCCTGGAGAAGGAAATGGCAACCCACTCCAGTTTTCTTGCCTGGAGAATCCCATGGACAGAGAAGCCTGGCGGGCTGCAGTCCATGGGGTCGCAAAAGAGTCAGACAGGACTGAGCAACTAACACTTTCACTTTTCTTCCAAAGAGCAAACATCTTTTATTTTCATGACTGCAGTCACCATCGGCAGTGATTTTAGAACCCAAGAAAATAAAATCTGTCACTGCTTCCACTTTTTCCCCTTTCATTTGCCATGGAGTGATAGGAACAGATGCCATGGTTTTAGTTCTTTCGGTGTTGAGTTTTAAGCCCGCTTTTTCACTCTTCTCTTTCACCTTCAAGAGGCTCTTTATTTCCTCTTCACTTTCTGCCATTAGAGTGATATCATGTGCATATCTGAGGTTGTTGATATTTCTCCCACAGTCTTGATCCCAGCTTGTGCTTTATTCAGCCTGGCATCTTGCATGATGTACTCTGCATATGTTAAAATAGGCAGGGTGATAGCATACAGCCTTGACATAGTCCTTTTCCAATTTTGAACCAGTGAGTTGTTCCATAACGATTCTGACTGTTGCTTCTTGACCTACACACAGATTTCTCCGGAGACAGGTAAGGTGGACTGGTATTCCCATCTTTTTAAGAATTTTGTGCAGTTTTTGTCATCCACACAGTCAAAAGCTTTAGCATAGTCAGTGAAGCAGAAGTAAATGTTTTTCTGGAACTCCTGAATATCTGGAAGTTCTCGGTTCACATACTGCTGAAGCCTAGCTTGAAGGATTTTGAGCATAACCTTGCTTGCGTATGAAATGAGCTAAATTGCATGGTAGTTTGAACAGTCTTTGGCCTTGGAATGTAAACTGACACTTTCCCAGCCCTGTGGCCACCGCTGAGTTTTCCAAATTTGCTGACATATTGAATGCAGCACTTTCACAGTATCATCTTTTAGGATTTTAAATAGCTCAACTGGAATTCTGTCACCTCCAATAAATTTGTTTGTAGTAGTGCTTCCTAAAGGCTCACTTGATGTCACACTCCAGTATGTCCAGCTCTAGGTGAGTGACCACACCATCGTAGTTATTCAGGTCATTAAGACCTTTTTTATATAGTTCTTCTCTGTATTCTTGCCACCTCTTCTTAAATCTCTTAGGTCCCTGCATCTGTTAGATCCTTGCCATTTCTGTCCATTGCATGAAATGTTCCCTTGTTATCGCCAGTTTTCTTGAAGAGATCTCTAGTCTTTCCCATTCTATTATTTTCTTCTGTTTCTTTGCATTGTTCATGTAAGGAGGCCTTCTTATCTCTCCTTGCTATTGTCTGAAACTCTGCATTCAGTTGGGTATATCTTTCCCTTTCTCCCTTACTTTTCACTTTTCTTCTTTCCTAAGCTGTTTGTAAAGTCTCCTCAGACAACCATTTTGCCTTCTTGCATTTCTTTTTCTTTGGGATGGTTTTGGTCACCCCCTTCTGTACAGTGTTACAAACCTCTGTCCATAGTTCTTCAGTCACTGTCTACCGGATCTAATCCCTTGAATCTGTTTGTCACTTCCACTGTATAATCATAAGGGATTTGATGTTTGTCATATTTGAATGACTGGTTTTCCCTCTTTCTTCAATTTAAGTCTGAATTTTGCAATAAGAAGCTCATGATCTGAGCCACGGTCAGCTCCATCTTGTTTTAGCTGACTGTAAAGTGCTTTTCCATCTTTGGCTGCAAAGAACATAGTCTGATTTCGGTATATTGACAAATCAGTGATGTCCATGTGTAGAATCATCTCTTCTGTTGTTGAAGAAGGGTATTTGTTATGACCAGCATGTTCTCTTGACAAAACTGTTAGTCTTTGCGTGGTTTTGTTTTGTCCTCCAAGGCCAAACATGCCTGTTGTTCTGGATTTCTCTTGACTTAATATATTTGCATTCCAATCCCTGATGGTGAAAAGGACATCTTTTTGGGGGTGTTAGTTCCAGAGGGTGGTGTGTAGGTCTTTATAGGTGGGTGTTAATAAGCATTTTTCCATTTACCCAGTTCCACTTGCTGAAAACTTTTTCTGGTTAAATCTTTGATGTAATGTATTAGCTTGTGAGATACCCAATAGTTAGCTAAAATTGCCTCTGTCATATTCACTAAATTCTGAGAGCATATACCTTCTTACCAAGGCCTTTCCTTTTGCTGTGGAAGTTGCCCTGTTACCCTCTCTAGCCTAATGGGTAAATCATCTGCTGGTACCTTCCTTTCTACAGACCAAATAGAGCTGTATTTCCTCTTAATGTGCTGTCTCAAAATGAATCACTAAAGGGGAAACTATTTATGGATTTTTCTAAAAGGAACTATTAGGAAACTTACCTGCCTTGGTCTGTGTTTAAGCATTTAGGGAGAGATTAATGCAGCTTTTCCCTTTTAGCTTGTTTGATTTTTATTTCCAAAGCAGTAATTTATCTGTTTGTGATAAAAATTTATATTGCATGTTCCTGCTTTTGCTTTGTGTTCTCTAAACTTATTAAGTTTCTCCATATTCTAAAGTAATGGCATGTTTTAGTTATTCCTTGTTTAAAAAGAGTCACAAAGCATATACTAATGTACTTTTAGGCAGGATCCTTTTAAAAATTAAAATTTAATGTTAAAATATAATTTAAATTCTCAGTATAAAACATAAATTGAGAAAACCGTGGTGGGTTTTTTGTTTGTTTGCTTTTCTTTTTTTTCCAAAAGGAAATTTTGCTTTATAAAGGGTTTCACCACAGTAGTATTTGTGTTTAAAATATCCTGCAGAGCCTTTGCAAGTGAGTCTAATTGATGTTTGGGATTAAGAATTGTTGAGCCCAGTGTCTGAAATCCTTGTTTCCAAAAGACCCTTTCCGAATCTACACAGAAACTTTGATCTCCCTCGTTTTGTATGTTCTTGAATTAAGCATATTTTTTTAAAGTCCTGTATTCAAGATGATTTCTTTAACTTATGCAATTTTGTTACTTTAGAATTTTAAAAATTATAATAGTATTTTAATGTCTTTTCTGCCACGTTACACTCTCTATACTTTTTTGACCTAGCTTGACGGTGGTTTAGTCTCTCGGTTGTGTCCAACTGTTTGTAACCCCATAGACTGTAGTCCGTCAGGCTCCTCTCCTCTGTCCGCGGGACTTCCCAGGCAAGAAGACTGGAGTGGTTGCCATTTCCTTCTCCAGGGGATCTCCTGTATTGCAGGCAGTCTCCTGCTTTGCAGTCAGATTCCTTATTGACTGAACCACCAGGGAAGGACCTTTGGGCATGAGATTAATATTGGTTAATAGGATGAATTCTAAATTACAACTAATGGACTTAACTGATAAAATGTTATAGCAAAGTTGTTTGCGAGTTGGAAGATTGTATACTGTGTTTGTATTAACTGTAATGCCTCAGGGAAATCTAAATGAAATTGAGAGACACTGTAAGTAAAGGTAAACATTGTTTACTGATTTATGAATAGTATTTCGAATATAGGTGGTGAATTTTATGTGCTTCTGACAAAAATATGCCAGACACCACTCTTTATAAATTAGCATTCACATAATTCTTTCAGTTCTATTGTCCTAAATGCATTTTCCTTTTTTCTCAGAGGACGTACTGAGTAAAGATGCTGGGGAATGTGCAATATGCCTTGAAGAACTGCAGCAGGGAGATACTATAGCACGACTGCCTTGTCTATGCATATATCATAAAGGGTGAGTTTATTTTTATGTTAGCCAAATTGATATTAGACTAAAAGACCTTTCTCAGTGTTTCAAATTTTGTAGTTAGGGCTGAAAGGTTTCTTCTTCATCGAAACTCTCCCCCGCCCCCCGCCCCCAAAAAAGGCCTTTTTTTCCCTGTTGGCAATAAAAATCTGTTTGCATTTCAAAGTCTACCATTTGTTAAGCATTTACTATGACCCAGGTATTGTCCATAGCTTCCTGAATAGGTTATCTTATGTAAGCCTTACAACAGTCTTGTTGTACAGTTGAGGAAATAAGCTGGGGGGCATGGTCACATGGCTAGTAATAAATGAAAGAACTGAGATTCCAGCCATGTCTCTTTGACTCCAAAGCCCATCTGGTTTCTGATAAAGTGTTTTGGTTTTAGGGCAACAAGGAAAAATTTGATGTAAGATGATTTAAAGTAAACTACAAAAAGGACAGAAAACTATAACTTTAAAAGCAATAGTGGAGATAACTTGGAATTTTATGTAAAAGCAGGGTGTGGAGGTTGGAGAAAATAGTAAATAGTACCAAAACAAAGAGGCAAAAATAAATCCAGTATCAGTAATTATAATAAATCCAAATGGTCAAACTAATCAGGTGAAAACAAATCAAAAGGTTGGAATATGCTGTTGATGAGCAGCACACTTAAACATAAAGGATACAGAACAATATGGACATAAAGGGATAGAAGACTATATCCAAGCAAATGTTAAATAAATAAAACTGACAAAGCTAAATTAATATTGGACAAAAATTAACTTTATTGAAAAAAGTATTACTAGTATTATATGATGATAATAGTATATAAAACTTCATTCTTTGTGTACCAAAGAACACAGTCTCAAAGTAAAGTATGTAGAATGGTCAGAAAAAATTGAGAAATCATCATGGTAATTGGAAATTTGAATATAGTTCTCATTGAGTCAAACAGGCATACATATAACTAGTTAAGACCTAGAAAAATTGAGCAGTACAGTGAACAGATTTGATCTCATGAGTATGAATGGATGTATCTACAGTCAGCAATTTAGAAAATACATTTTCTTTTCAGGGACATACAAAATGCTATAGAAATTGGTCATGTACTAGACCACAAGGCAGGTCTTAGTAAACCACAAAAAGCTGGTACCATACAGAAAGCTGTTCTGTTCTCTGAGCATAGTTAGATGTCAATGACAAAAGATAAATGATTTTCACACATACTCTTAAGTAACTTACAGATCAAAGAAGATACCATAATGGAACTTAGAAAATATTCTGAATAATAGTGAAAACCTTTTCAGCATTTTTCTAGAGTGATCCTTGCAAGATTTGTGTTATTGTGGAAAGGAAGACTGGAAATCAGTAGTCCTAAGTTTTTATCTGAATTAGAAAATTGATAGTAGGAAACGAAGGAAACAAAGATCAGAGAAAAAAAAATTGAGTGAAAAAATTACACACTAGGATAGAGACTAACAAAGTCAAACGTTGATTCTTTGAAAAGAATAACAGGTTAGCCACTGGCAAGATTGTGTCTAGAAGGAAAAAATAAACAGTGTTGGAATGAAAAGGAAGACATCACTGTAGATATAACAAGAATTAAAATAGTTGGAAAATTCTGTGGAAAATTTTATACTTTTCACCTAAAAATTTTAAACGAAACAGGTAATTTCCTTAGAAATATAATATTGTCCAAAATGACTTGAAAAGAAACAGGAAATCCAAATAAAGTAGAAACTATCCTAAGTAGTTATTAAGACTAACCCTGAAAAGTAACAAATATTTTTAAAAAGCCAAATCAGAAAACTAAAGACAGGCCTACCATGACAGTTTGACAGCAAGTTTACCACATAGCCAAAACATTACATGGACTTCCGTGATGGCTAAGTGGTAAAGAATCTGACTGCGATGCAGAAGATGCAGGTTCTATCCCTGGGTTGGGAAGTTCCCCTGGAGAAGGAAACAGCAACCCACTCTAGTATTTCTTGCCTGGGAAACCCCATGGACAGAGGAGTCTGGTGAGCTACAGTCCATGGGGTCACAAAGAGTCAAACATGACTTAGCAACTAAACAGCAACAACAAAGCACCATGTGAATAATCATAAATTCCTCCAAAAAGTAGATAATGATGGAAGGTTCTCCCACTTATTTTATGAGTATAGTATATACTTGATACCCATATCAGATAAGAACAGTATAAGAAAGAAAACTAAAAGACACTGTCATTTATGAACCTAAATGCAAAATCTGAAAACATAGTAGCAAACCAATTCATCAGTATATATGTAAAATAATGCCTCTTGACCAAATTGGATTTATGTTATTAATAGTAATGCAAAAACACTATATGATTAGAAAATGTATGTATATAATATACCACATTAGCAAATGAAGAGGACTATATTAACTTAATAAACTCTATATTTATTATTAATTTAAAATCAAAAGCAAAAAATAAGTATTAGGTAATATGTTAAAATTAATAAGAATTTAGCTAGGTTATCTGATAGGAGCTCAACATATGAAAATCAGTTGCATTCATATCCCAGTAAGAAAAAATATATATAACTTTTTTTTTTAGGTTAGTAACATTGATACCAATAGAAACTGCAACAGGAATAAGATTTATTAAGAATAAATCTTACAAAAAGATATTCAAGATTTTAAAACATTACTGAAAGATATTATGGAAGGTCTAAAATAAATATGTGGCATACGATTTTGTGGATGGGAAAACTCAATATCATAAAGATGTCACTTCACCCCAAATCTATGTAGTTAATACTATTTCAATCAAATTTCTACTAGTTTTTTCATGTAACTTGACAAGTTGATTCTTACATGTATATGGACAAAAGAGCAAAGGGTCAAGAATAGTCAAGACAATCGTAAAGAAGTAAGTGATGCTGGGTGGTGGTGGTGGGGTACTTATCCTATACAGATTCACTGTAAGACTCTTAATTAATGTGGTGTGGAAAGAATATAGACAGGTAAGTGGAAAAGAATAGAGTCCATAAACACTCATGCATATAAAATGAAGATTCAGCATTGCATGGAGGTAAAGAACATGGCCATTACTCCAGTACTTGGTCACCTGATGCGAAGAAACAACTCATTGGAAAAGACCCTGATGCTGGGAAAGATTGAAGGCAGGAGGAGAAGGGGGCGACAGAGGATGAGATGGTCGGATGGCATCACCGACTCGATGGACATGAGTTTGAGCAAGCTTCAGGAGTTGGTGATGGACAGGGAATCCTGGCGTGCTGCAGTCTCTGGGGTCGCAAAGAGTTGGACACGACTGAGTGACTGAACTGAACTGAAAGAACATGGACTGTTAAGAGTCAAGATTCCTAAAATTTGAATCCTAGCCCCTCTGCTAATTCATTGTATCATCTTGGTCAAGTTACTTTCTCTACCTTAATCTGTAAAATGAAGCACTGGTATTAACTTCGTAGAGTTGTTCTGAGGTTTTAAATGAGTTATTTTTAGAAAGTGCTGGCAAATAATAGATGCTATATAAGTGATTGTTTAACATGAATAAATGGAAAAATTGGTTTACCAAAGGTGGTATTACAGTATAGTAAAGATAATAAGGAATAAACTATTCATTGAGTGGCACTGGAATCAGTTATTGACATGAAAAAATAATTGAATATTTTACTTTTGAAATAAGCATTAATTCTAGATTAACTGCCTATGGAAACTAAAGTCTAAAGTATTGGAAAGAATATAGAGAAATATTCTTAACCTTATGGCAAGGAATTATTTTGGGGGCTAAGATAACCTTTCCATAAAAAGTTAAAAGAAAAGTTGAAGAATTTGACTACATTAAAATTTAAGTTTTCTTTGCATCATGATACTATGAAAAATTTAAAAACTAGATGTCAGAATGTTTTCAGTACATATAACAAAGGTTCGATATGTAAAACATGGAAGCAGTACTATATGTTATTTTGGAATACATACACACACACAGTTTTAGAGTATAGATCCAAGATCCCTTGCTGGATCTTGGGAGGGGAATATAATATTTTAAATGGGTTCATAGCAGTTTATCTAAGAAGAGGAGATTTTAAATGCTTTCTTTGTCGAGATGAACTGAAATCACATGGTTATAAAATAGGAAGTGCCCATTTTAGATCACAGAATTGTACATTAAGATGTACTGAGAATTGTTAACACATCTGGTGTATTTTGTTCAGTTCTCAGTATTTTGTTGTTAAGAGGCATTCTGGTAAACCAGAAGTGAGTCAAACAGCAAGTTGAAAACAGTGTCGTAAAGTCAAATTGGGCATGTTTATTTAGACAGCAAAAGTCTTAATGGCAACAGAAATTGTTTTAAAATATTTTTAAGAATATCGTGTGGATGGGATCTTTTACCTTCTTTCCTTTTAAATTTATCTATTGGTTTTATCTATCAAACCAACCTGTGAGGATGGATAACTATTAATTTTGTCCTTCAGCATATTAGTCAGGCCATCTAACTTTGAGGCATATGTTAATTTGCACTGTTAACTGTGAGAATGTTCAACACTTTAAAAGCAAATCTCCTTGGGTAATTTTCTAGCTGTTGGGCAAGTTACTTATCCTTCTTAAGGCCTTGAGTTTATCGTTAGAACTTTCTGCATGAACTTTCTGTTCTATGTCTGTTTTATCTAGTAGAGTAGCCAGTAGCCATGTGGTTGTTGAGCACTTGAATTGTGGCTAGTGTGACTAAGCAAGTGGATTTTTCTTTAATTTTAATGAATTTAAATAGCCATATGTGGCTCGTGACTTACTGCATTGAACAGTACAGATCTATAATGATAATTATATATGCACACTAATATTTAACTTCCTATAAACTCTTAAGATAGTTTATAAATGGATGATGGTATATTGTATCTGTACATGTATTGTGGGAAGAAAGGGATAGAATTAAGTTTTCAGTACTCCCATATAAATATAGTCTTTTAAAATGTGATATAGTATTGTCAAGAATTAAAGTTTAAAAGCTTGATCTGTGGTTGACATTTGCATAAATTTGAACAACTACTTTGAAGACAAATATCTGTCCAGATTTGGCCTTTAACTTTGAATATTGGTCAAGTGGTAGTTCTTGAGGTTCTCTTTTGGGAATGGTGGTTCTGTTTAAACCTTAAAGTACATTATAGCATAATTTTGCAAAGATTTATCTCCTTCTTAGAATAATGAGAATGTAATAAAAATATCCTTTTATTTATATATGCCAAATATCATTAAAAATATCAAATTCTTTTTCTGTAGAGATATTAATGTCAAGAAGTAAGCATTTTTATTATAACTATTATATAGATAATTAAACGTGTTTCAATTTTTCTGTTTTTTACTTTTCTAGCTGCATAGATGAATGGTTTGAAGTAAATAGATCTTGCCCTGAGCACCCTTCAGATTAAGCATCAGCCTCCTGTCTTATAGGTAATTTTCCCTTTTTTTTTAAATCGCTTTTTAAACTCTTACCTGAGTCATCCATTCTAAACCACCGTTTTTATTCATTGATTTAGTCACTGAGGTGTGTGTGTGTTCCAGACATTGTATTAGGCTGCTGTGTAGAAAACTCACATGAAAAGTTACAAAGAAATAATTAGTTAATATTTATATTGCATTATTACATTAAAAAGCAGAGACATTACTTTGCCAATAGAGGTCCGTCTGGTCAAGGCTATGGTTTTTCCAGTAGTCATGTATGGATCTGAGAGTTGGACTATAAAGAAAGCTGAGCGCCGAAGAATTGATGCTTTTGAACTGTGGTGTCGGAGAAGACTCTTGAGAGTCCCTTGGACTGCAAGGAGATCCAACCAGTCCATCCTAAAGGAGAATCAGTCGTGGGTGTTCATTGGAGGGACTGATGTTGAAGCTGAAACTCCAGTGCTTTGGCCACCTGATGGGGAGAGCTGACTTATTTGAAAAGACCCTGATGCTGGGAAAGATTGAGGGCTGGAGGAGAAGGGGACGACAGAGGATGAGATGGTTGGATAGCATCACCGACACAATGGACATGGGTTTGGGTGGACTCCGGGAGTTGGTGATGGACAGGGAGGCCTGGTGTGCTGCGGTTCATGGGGTCGCAAAGAGTCAGACATGACCGAACTGAATTGATAATGTACCAGGCATTGGTCTAAGCATTTTACATCTGTTAATAACTCATCTAATTGTTACAACAATTCTTTGAGCTCAGTGCTCTTAACTACTCCCATAATGCAGATGAGGAGACTAAGTTTTAGAGAGGGTAAGAAACTTGACCTGTCAAGGTCACATGGCTAGTTCATTAGTAGAGCTGGGAATTGAACCCAAAGATTGTGTTCTCTGCTATTTTGGTGTTATTAGTGAGAACATTTTCCTAAGAAAGCTGTTTTTATAGTTATTCATTCAATTTTATCTTTCATTTGTGTATCCTATCTACACAGTAGACAGAAAAAAAGAAATTTTAAACCAAATACAGAATTTGTTTTGCACTGTTGATGTAGCTTATTCATGATTCTGCATTTTCTGAAAATGTGAATTGAATGAAAACCTCAAAACTTCACTTGTGTATTGCTTTTTTTTGGTTTTCCATGAAGTGAATTGAATGACATCATTTAGCTCTGAAATAAGTTAATTGCTAACTTCATATGTTTGAAAAGCTTTTTATTTGTGTCACTTCAAAATGATATAAAGGTATAAAATATTGTGTTTTACATGAAGGCAGAATATTTTAGCCAATCTTGAAATTGTTTGGGAAGGAGTTACTGCCTCTGTGTTCAGAGACTCAAGGTAGTCACAGAACAATCTTTTCTGAATGTGATCACAGGCAGGAAACTAGAGCAGATAGTATCCTAAGTTCTAGTCCTGTGCTGTCCCCCTAACTTCCTTTTATTTCAGGAACTCCTGGTCTTAAATATGAAATGTTGTGATAATAAACACATTCAAGGAATTCTGTTGTCTTAATGAGGATCACTTAATAGCAACAGATTAGAATATTAACAAAGGAGATTTGAGGTAACTTAGTAACAGCTATTGCAGCTGGAATAAGAGCTGCAACTTTGAGACCTCTGTATTAATTAATAACAGTAGGATTACACATGTGAACTACGAAGTCCTGGCTAGACTATCAGCTTTTGAACCTTTTTACTATGAGATAATTCAGATCATACCTTGACACATTTGAAGTATGAATTGGAATTAGATTACTGTGTAAGAGAAGGGGATGGGAGTGATATTTTGAGGATGCATGCATGTATGCTTTTATCTCACTTTGTTAAAGGGGTTTTGAAGAGGAAGATGCTTTGGAACGTCTTCAGTGTCACCTTACATCTGGGTCACTAAAGTAAAGCTATGGCTAAAATTATAAAAGCTTTTTAAGAAGTACTAACACCAATGCTAATAGAATGAAATTTAGTATTTTATGGACCAAAGCAATATGTCTAAGTCTTTCACCCATAAGTAAAATTTGTCTTTTTAGTCAATAAACTTTTTTGTCTGTAAGTGGAATTTTATGATATAAAATCTGTTATTACCTAGTATAATCAGCTAAATCTTTCTTTCGTGTCACAGCGAGCTTATGGGATATGTGGCAACATGGCATCTCATCTTACGGGCAACATCATGTGTGTTGGTTTTAAACAGCATTTCAGTTTCCTTACCCTGTGTATCAGTGTTATCTTCTATCTTCTTTAGTTTTTTTTTTCCCCCCAATGTGGAACCTGAGTTTGGATGTGAATCAGTGGAATCTGTCTCTATGGATCTTTTCAAATGATGAGTCATTTCTAAGAATGTATAGACATGGGATTCCTCAACTCACATTTTGTCTTTGTTCTAACTGCCTTTGTCAAATGATGAATCCTCCTATCTCTTTAACTGTCCTAGATTAAAAGTGTATGGGTTTGAAGAGGATTCGGTGTTGTTAAAACTTTTTTTTTAAGGCAACATGTACCGATACTCTTCAGCATATGAATTTAGTAGTCAGTCTAAAATACAGATACATGAATATCTAAGGTCTTGATTAGTTAGGAGATGATTTACTATTTTTAACTTGAGATTTTGGGTTACTTGGAAAGGGATTAATGAATTGTGTATATGTGTATGTGTTTGTACTTTCTCTACTCTGTTGTAGTCTTTATTGTGGAGGGGGAAGGACTGTTTGTGGGTTGTTTTTTTTTTTGGTAACAATTTTAAGCTTTAATTTGTCCTTTGGTGTCCTTGATTTGTTCTTTTGCAGAACACAGTTTTTATCAGCTTTTTAAAATGCTAAGTGTATGAAAATTTACAGTCTAAAGAAATTTTCATGGGGAAGTAGGTGTTTAATTTTGATTTGTGTTACTATTATGGACCGTTGCTTAAGCTGAATGTATCTGCTTTTACACAGGTTTCCTTGACTTCAGGATGCTTGAAAAACCAAGAGGATATGATCTGTCTCTGGAAAAACAAAAACAAAAATGCAGGCACACTCAGCCAGATATCTAAGTTCTGTGAGACTCAGTAATGCAGAGATGGACAATCATACAGGAGAAAAAAGTCCTGCTGAAGAGAGGACAATTGCCACAGAACTCAGTGTACCAAACATGCATATAAAGGACACACAGGGATTTTGAAAATGCTGCACATCCCTTAGTAGTCATCTACATAGGTAATACTGATGAACATTTTGTATTCAGACGCCAAAGTTAACTGATTTAAAAGTTGATTTACTTTTTATTAAGTTCTCTAGGGCTGCACAACTACTTGTGTTTGATTTGTTTTGGTTTTTAGTTTGGGGACCCTTTATTTTCCCAACATGATGTTCCTGCATTCATCAGTTCTTAAATTGAAGACCACGTAATTTACTTCTTAAAAATTAAAGTCTTAAATGTGAAACCAAGAAATGTAATCAAGCAGTAAAACATTCTCTGAATGTAGACCATGATCTCAAGTTCTTCGATTTTTTTTTCTCCCCCAAGAGTAGAAAATAGGCTTCTACATAGGAAAGCTACAGTATGTTACTATTGTAAATTAAAGGTTTAACATTATCAGAATGCAGTCCAAAGAATAAAAAAATCAAGTTACATATAATATTCTAATTAATTAAATCTAGGATTATCTACTGAATTGCAATTTATTAAATATGTTACTTCATTTTTAAATAAAACTGCTCAACAGGTAATCAGCAATGAATCATCTTGCAGCTATGCAACTTAAAAAAAAATAATTACCAATTTTAAGTGCTGCCAGCTATAATAACTTTGTTTTAACGGGTATTTTTATTTGTTCTCTTCTTGTAATGTGCTTTGCATCTCCAGGCAGTTTTCCTATATTTAGGTAAAATGTTTAGCAGGTTGTAATACTTTAATAACTTATGAAAAGGGTAAAACAAAATTTTCTTGAGTGGAACTTGGAATAATTTGAGGGACATTTTTATATACTTGTAAAAATCAGAATTTAATTGGGATGCCAGATTTATAGCAATTTGCATCTTTAATTTTCCAGATAGTCTTGGAGTTTAGCATTTGATAAATGATTTTTTAAAGCAGACATAAAGATTTTGTTAATTTATAATTTATTAATGTGTTATTACTATAATTAAAATGTTACAGAGAGTTTTAAATTCAGTCTTGTATAGAAAGAAATGTATTAAGCAAAATTATGTGAATAAATATTCCCACAAAATACATCTGAATGGTTAAAGAATACTGGAAGAGAGCTATCAGGGCTGCAACAATGAATGTCTTTTTTTTTTTTTTTTTTTTTTTAGTATCAAAAATACCTATTCATAAATTTCATGTTTTCAACATAGGGAAAATGTTATCAGAGAACAATTTAAGCAGTGCACTTTACTCGGAATGATTAAGAGTTACACAGTACTGTTTCCTTATTTTAAGCTTTCTTTAATGTATTTAAGTATTTGCTTTTTTTTTTTTTTTACTGCTGCTCTTCTTATCCTTCTCAATTTTTTTCCCTTGTTCTGTTGCTTCTGTTTCATAGTTTTTTAAAAAGGGCACGTACAGGAGCAACTGCTGCTACCCAGAAAAACTTGTGTATTATAAAAAATGTTAAAAAAGAGCTTCTAATTGCTATTTGTGTGATTCTAGAGCAGATAACATTTTCCCTAAAGTTATGCTGTGAAATGCCTTTTGTTATGGTGCAGTTGATTAAGGAATCCTAAACCTCCATTGTGACAAGCTGATGGCACAGTTTCATAGGTGCTTTTTTAACCAGTTGTGGAAAATATGCTTTCCTCAAGGAAAATATTCTCCTTAAGTTTTTTGTTATCATGAAATCTTAATATGAATGCCTTTTAGTTCACATTTTCAGGTTTGTAAGCTCTCTCTCCCTCTCTTGCTCTCGCGTGCATGCTCTCTAACGCGAGTTCTCTAACGTACACACACACACACACACACACACACACACCACCCCCCCCCCAAGAAAAACCTCTTAGAATGTG